GCCACGCCGCCCTCCTCCGTGCATGTGTCATACGTGTCATCTACACTTGCGTTTAACTCTCACTCTGATCCTCAGGAGCTTCGAATAAAACATGTGGATGCATTTTTAAACGGTTGCTGGTGAAGCTTTAGTGCTGTTTGTCTGGGCTCAGGAAGACGAGCAGCGCTTTACCCAAAATGTACGGAGATATAAAAAATAAACATCAGTCACTTAAAAAGGAGAATCTTGTGAGTTGATGTGCTGGTTTTATAACATAATGGTAACCAGTTAAGAAACAGCAGATGGAGCATTTGGATAATTGAACACCAGAGAGGTATGAACATGTTTAAGTCGCCTGAGACTAAATCTAAATGAGCTTTTTGCTTTCATCCTGTCACGAGTTGTGGATTCAGCGGAGAGTTTAAAGCAACCATGGGTGATTTATTATTGATCTGACGGCTTCTCTCAGCTGGGACAATGAGCAGAAGACAACCACAAGCAAACCCACATCTAACTGGACGTCATGCACATCCCTGCATTCACTACAGGAATTATTAGGATGATATGAAAAAGACTGCAGGTTTGCTCACATGTTGCCTAAAAGCTCGAGTCCTGTACATCTTTAACGAGTGGTTTTTTTTAGGTGGTCCTCACAAAGACTGTAAACACACAAACCCTGATGGCTTGCCGCTCTCGCTGTGGCACCTGGATATTAGACCCAGCAGTAAAATGCACGAGACGCCGCGGTCGGACTAATCCAGCCTCACCTCGAGTCTGATTGACACCAAACACATTTACAATGTGTGTGTGCAAAAAAAAGTCCCACCAGGCAGCAAAACGAGCAACTCCACCAATGATTAAATAACAAAATAAATAAATAATAAATTCAACAGTAAATGCCAGAATCAGGACATGTTTTACTTTTGTTCTCTAATAATGAAAATAATAGTGAAAGTGTGCATCAAAAGCACCTTTGCTCAACGGAAGGAGTGTTAACATTGGGAGGGTGACGTCCCCGTTTCACGCATGGCTAACTCAGCTTAAAGGTTTTCTAGTAAGGTAGAGGGGAGCTTTAGAAACAATATTTATGTCCAACAAAAGCCAGAAAGTTCAGAAAATTCACTTTTTAAAGGAAAATAAATCACTTGCATTTGCATTGTTATTTAAAATACTTCTCTTGATTCTGGCAAACTGTCCGGCGCCTCAGGAGAGGAAGGCAGCAACTCACTGTCTACAGTGGGGATGGGGAGCTGCTGACGTCAACTGGGGCTATAGTCGGACGGTGGAAGGAATACTTTGAGGAGCTCCTCAATCCCACCTACGCGCATTCTGAGGAGGAACCAGAGCCGGGAGACCTGGGGATGGACTGTCCGATCTCGGGGGCAGAAGTTGCTGAGGTAGTCAAACAACTACACAGCGGCGGAGCCCCGGGGGCGGATGAGGTTCGTCCTGGGTATCTCAAGGCTATGGATGTTGTAGGGCTGTCATGGTTGACACGTCTCTGCAACATTGCGTGGTCATCGGGGGCAGTTCCTGTGGAGAGGCAGACCAGGGTGGTGGTCCCCATCTTTAAGAAGGGTGACCTGAGGGTGTGTTCCAACTATAGGGGGATCACACTCCTCAGCCTCCCTGGAAAGGTCTACGCCAAGGTACTGGAGAGGAGGGTCCGATCGATAGTTGAATCTCAGATAGAGGAGGAGCAATGCGGTTTTCGTCCTGGCCGTGGAACTGTGGACCAGCTCTATACCCTTGCAAGGGTGATGGAGGGGGCATGGGAGTTTGCCCAACCAATCCACATGTGCTTTGTGGATTTGGAGAAGGCTTATGACCGTGTCCCCAGGGGCACCCTGTGGGGGACGCTCCAGGAGTATGGGGTGGGTGGCTTTCTGTTAAGGGCCATTCAGTCCCTTTACCAGAGGAGCGTGAGTTTGGTCCGCATAGCCGGTAGTAAGTCGGACCTGTTCCCAGTGAGGGTTGGACTCCGCCAGGGCTGCCCTTTGTCACCGGTTCTGTTCATCACTTTTATGGACAGAATTTCTAGACGCAGCCGTGGTGTGGAGTGTGTCGAGTTTGGTGGCAGGAGAATCTCGTCTCTGCTTTTTGCGGATGATGTGGTCCTCCTAGCTTCATCCAGCTCTGACCTTCAGCTCTTGCTGGGTAGGTTCGCGGCCGAATGTGAAGCGGCTGGGATGAGGATCAGCACCTCCAAATCTGAGACCATGGTTCTCGACCGGGAAAGGGTGACTTGCCACCTCCGGGTCGGGGGAGAGGTCCTACCTCAAGTGGAGGAGTTTAAGTATCTCGGGGTCTTGTTCACGAGTGAGGGTAGGAGGGATCGGGAGATCGACAGGCGGATTGGTTCGGCGTCTGCAGTGATGCGGACGCTGAGCCGATCTGTCGTGGGGAAGAGGGAGCTGAGCCAGAAAGCCAGGCTCTCGATTTACCGGTCGATCTACGTCCCAATCCTCACCTATGGTCATGGGCTTTGGGTAACGACCGAAAGAACGAGATCGCAGATACAAGCGGCCGAAATGAGTTTCCTCCGTAGGGTGGCCGGGCTCAGCCTTAGAGATAGGGTGAGGAGCTGGGACATTCGGGAGGGACTCTGAGTAGAACTGCTGCTCCTCCGGATCGAAAGGAGTCAGTTGAGGTGGTTTGGGCATCTGGTCAGGATGCCTCCTGGACGCCTCCCTGGGGAGGTGTTTCGGGCATGTCCTGCCAGCAGGAGGCCCCCGGGTCGACCCAGGACACGTTGGAGAGGTTACATCTCCAATCTGGTCCGGGAACGCCTTGGGGTCCTGCCGGAGGAGCTGGTGGAGGTGGCCGGGGAGAGGACGGTCTGGAGCTCCCTAGTTGGGATGCTGCCCCCGCGACCCGGATAAGCGGAGGAAGACGACGACGTCTCTTGATTAAAGGCGTCTTTAAGTTAATCTTCCTGTATCGCTCATAAAAGTCGAGTATTTAACACTTAAAATAGAAAAGAATTAAATAAAAACAAAACTCAACATAATTTTTAACAGAAACATTTGTTGTGGCCTTTAGAAGTGTGTTTCTGTGTAAAACTGCTATCTTACCTGTTCGATCGCTTCCTGAGCAGCGCAGCCACAGCGAATGATAGACGTCTTTCAGGATTGATGAGCTAACAGCTAGTCTGATCGTAATAAAACAGCTCCATTCAGCTAAATCTCAGTGTTTCATGCAGTTGTTTCACACAACTGTGCATTTGTCCGAAGATCACCAGCAGCAGTGAAATGTATATTTTTGGTTCATTTAGTATTTCTGCTGAGAAACCCGTGTGATGTCATACTGATGGCAGTGAAAACGTTTGTGAAGCAACTTTTACATACATTAGCTATTCTAATTCATTTCCAAATGATTATCAATAAATACCACACTGCTCACAAAAACCAAATGATTGTAAAAAATATTTTATTTTGACAAAGTCTTCAACCTCTTCCAAAGGCTAAACTCTTGGCTAGGTTTAGACCAGGCGTTAGCGTATGTAGGAGGGAAAGCTTACTTCACTATACTGAGAATGCTCCAGCATTTTAAATATAGTTTTGTCAACACCTTAAGCCAGGGGTGTTCAGTTCCAGGCCTCTGCTTCAACACACCTGACTTCAATCAGCAGGTGATCAACAGGCTTCTGCAGAGCCTGCCGGTCACCTGCTGGTGACTCAACCACTGAGTCACTATAACCTGCCGGACACCGGCCCTCCAGGCCCAGAGTTGAATACCCCTGCCTTAAGCTATTGCCTTCAAACTGGTTTCAGTGGTTTTTGAGTAACTTCACAATGGACATCACTCTGTAGCCCTCTGGTGACCAGAAACTGGACTTAAGACGTTTGTAGATCAGGTAGGTACACTAGTGGAAGGTCTCTACCTGCTTTGCTGCTGTCAGCTGTTTACTGTGCTGGTGGCTAATATAAAGGCTGGCAATTAGCTTTTTCAGATCGTCGATCGTTGTTGGCATCATTGTTGGGGCAGCAGTAGCTCAACAGGTTGAGCGGGTTGTCTAGTAATTGGAAAGTCACAGGTTCGATCCCGGCTCCAGAGAATTCTGCTGTTGTGTCCTTGGGCAAGACACTTATGTGTGTGCTTATGACACCGGAGGGACCGGTGGTGCCTGGAGTCGGCAGCCTCGCCTCTGTCAGTGCGCCCCAGGGCAGCTGTGGCTACATCGTAGCTCATCACCATCAGTGTGTGAATGGATGAATGATACACTGTAGTGTAAAGTGCTTTGGAGTCCTCACTCTGAGAGGCGCTATACAAGTGCGGGTCATTCATTCATCATTCATCATGGTGGAGCCTGGAAGTAAAGGTAAGAGAGTAATGTATTTGGAGGTGAAGCAAGGAGCTAAACCCAGAGTGAACATCGGTGCGGCCTACGCTAGCCTGCGGGAGCTAAAGCAGGCTACACAATTACAGAGTGATGGTGACCTGGCTATGTTGCAACTGGACTTTTTGTTATTTTTTACTTTGTGGTTTATTTTAATATTAGTTGGCTCATGTTGGTGTTAGCCCTTTATTAGCGCTAGCTACAGTTCACGACAGTTGTAATTTCACTTTCAACCAGTAGGGCAGAGGAGCAGGAAAATGGTCTGTATTTGATGTAGCGCCTTCTGGCGTCCAGAACCCCCCCAAGGTGCTTTACAACACAATCAGTCATTCACCAATTCACACCCTGGTGGTGATGAACTGCATTGTAGCCACAGCTGCCCTGGGGCGCACCGACAGAGGCGAGTCTGCCGAACACAGGCGCCACCGGTCCCTCGGACCACCACCAGCAGGCAAGGTGGGCTAAATATCTTGCCCAAGGACACAACAGCGACAGAGCGGGGCTCGAACCTGCAACCTTCCGATTACGGGCGATCGCTCAACTCCCGTGTCACCGTTGCCCCAAGGGAAACTGCTCAGTGTTGGTTCAACCAGATAAAGCTGCAGTGATCCCCATTTAAAATGTCACAAACAGAGAAATGAAGTCACAAACACAAAAAAGAATCCCAACCACAGATCAAAAGTAAACTAAGAACTCTTTTATTGATTTTTTTCTTGATTTTATATATCTATAACCGTTATTTTTCTACATCGTCCTTTAAAGGTTTGTCTTCATGCTAGGTGCAGCTTCGGTGTCTGTTGAACATGCAAGGTTGTGTTATTTTTTTAGGGAGGTTGGTGGTTTTTCACACACTGGACAACGGTGAGGAAACAGCAGACCCAGAATAAGCCAAATCCACCAAATCTGGGCTTAAAAAGAACCACCAGAACCATCCTGGATGGAACGGCACCGTGAGGGAGGATTAGTTGCACTGACCATCATCAAAGTTTCACCAAAAGTTAAGCAGTTCAGTTCCTGACGAAGTCCCATCCATCCACACCGTGAACGGAAACATTTCTTTTAAATCATGACATCGTTTGACATCTTTAGAGCAGTCAAAAACTCTAGAAGCAGGCAATCCTTACAGGAATACTCAAAACAAAATAACCCTCAGACAGCTTTGTTGGGAAATAAAACCACGAAGGAGCAGAGAGGGAATGCTGTTCATGATGGGAGAACGTTAAAGCAGTGATCTGGAGTATTGCTTCTGACCTCAGCGGGGATCCATTAGCAGGTCGGCACAAGGACAGCCGTTCTTTCCTTAAACACCAAATTTCAAAGCTAATGTTTTGGATATTCGGACTCGAAAAACTAGATGTGAAAAAAGTTACATCCAGTAAATGACATCAAGTGCCAGCTGGTGGAGGAGGAGGAGGCACTAACAGTGCTTTTTCTCTGTGTGTGTGTGTGTGTGTGTGTGTGTGTGTGTGTGGCTACAATGGGGATGAAGCAGGTTAACCCCGGCAGAGTTAGTGCCATATTGTCACGGCGCTCCGTGAGTCTCACAGAACCACGAACACACACGAACGAACAAGAACACCTTTACATTCCCACCAACAGAGGAAAGTTTCAGGATTGTTTTTGATTCACGAGGAAGAAAAACGGCCATTTTTGTTATTTACACAGAACTACTATGCTGCAGCAGTTATGATCGCAAGTTCACAATAAACACAAGGTCACTGACGGCTACGGTTGCACTAAGAAGCTTGACGATTCAGTTTCCCCCGTTGAGGAACAGAGTGCATCGTTTTTTTGTACAAAACATTTTGTAGATTTACAAAAACCGACGGTAAAGGGCTGATGGCAAAAAGGACAAAGAAACGCATGAGACATTAGAAAATACTCGGGTAGGAACACACATGGACATCATCTTTGGTGAAAATTGAACAGAGTATGCTGAAAGACACCTGAGCACAACATGTTTTTCCTACAGCTGCATTTGCTTGGTAATGTGTCCTCGCTGATCTGTTTACAACATGAGTGCATTTAGCAGGAGGATGAACATCACTGTGATCCTGTACATTTGGTTGTAAACTACTGGCATCAGGTATTAGCATACAACATCTGTTCATGCAGGGGCTGCATATGACTTCACCGTCTGTGGAAGTCTGGAGATTTGAAACGTGTTTGCATCGCAGCCACGAGACTGGCTTAGTGTGGCCTTTAGTGAGTCTAGTGTGTGTGTGCGCATCGCCACAGGACATCTAGTGTGTGTGTGTGCGCGCGCGTCGCCACAGGACATCTATTAAACGGCCGAGAGGTTTGTTGAATTTTCACTGCAGTTTTACCCACTTAAATCATTTTTAAAGGGGGAAAAATCAGAACAAACCAAAGGAAACGCGTCCCTTCAACCCCAGAAATCTAGAAAACAGAGACAAATATTCAAAGCTGCCTGTGGAGAAAAGTTGCTGGCATTCATAAAAAAAAATCATTCGCTGATGGACGCAGGGAGTCCTCCATCACACGTTTTCTGCTCCGCAAGCCTCTCAGTTCAGTTCCCATGCAAAGCCATGGCTTAAAGCCAAGGAAGAAGTTACAACGTGCAGCGTCTCCTGAAGCTCGTCCCGAGACCCAGGCGAAGGGGAGAGGGAGTCCGCGTGCCCTCCCCCACTCTTCAAGTATGAAATGATGGGAAAACTGAGGACAAAAGCCTGAATAAACCAACAAAGACATGGAAACAAAACCAAAAAAACAAACTAAACTCTCAGATTGTCGTTCCAGTCAGTGAATCAAACAGGGTGGCCATGTTTTATTTTCACCTTTAATACCAGGTAACATATGTTAGAGCCACCCTAGTCTCACCTTTCTCTACTAAATTCTACAACCTGAACATTTAAGTGTCATTAAGATAAAAATCACTGTTAAAGTGACAATGTGTAGTTTCTACCGTTAATCTCAGGAAATATCCAACAAAAAGTTGAAAATTAATAAAATTACGCAGTCTTTGGAAAGTATTGGCAGCTTCGTAACATATAACCATAAAAATCTACACGGGCACGGGTCTAAGTCTCTGGGGGACGCCATATTAGACGTCGATGATGTCACACTAGATGACTGGCTGGACGTATGACTTGTGGAAGTGACGTTACCACATTCGTACAAGTTACGTTAGCACGTTGACACAGAAGATTTTGAGCGGTCCGGACAAACTTGCGATTGTAGTCCTTGTAGTTTGACGTCATCGACAGGCGCAGGACCTCGAGCCGATTCGGTACCTACACCGCCAGAAAACTAGCATCGGCATGGCATTCTCTCCACGGACTGAGGCCGCATGCTTTGTGCTCAACTGGAAACATTTACCGCAACGTTTTTAAACTAGCAGACAACCACAGCGATATGCTGGAGGTAATTCTGTCTTACAGTTTATTCAATTAAAAAACAAATAGCGCTACGATACTCAGAGATGTTTGGTCTTTATGGCCATTTGTTGGTAACGTTGTCACTCGAACATACAAATACCGCTGGCTTGCAATGATTTAGGCAGTACTGCCCCTATCGCCAGGAAACTACACACTGTCACTTTAATTTTAGTAAGTATAGTTCAATTTTTCTTGCTTTAGGTCCAAATACACTGGTTTTTGTCGAAAAATGACCCTGTATCTAAAATAAACTTTATGCTAACTTAGTTACACTTTATAAAAACTTCATAATCTCATCTACCACGGCTACAGTACCAGGAACGGGAGTTCTCTGGGAAAAATAAAACAATTCAATGGTTTTAAAAGAGCAATGAAATCAGACAAACATGAATCTAGTTGGAAAACAGAAAACTTTTAGACGGAAAACACCATCCGGTAAAAACCAATAAGACATGAGGCTGAGGTCCTCTGAGGAATGAAAACGATGAGAAGTTTGAGAACCTGAAGCTGGCTGGGGTTGCGGAGGGCGGTGCAGGACTTCCTCAGGAACTGAGGGTGAACTGGTCCTGCTCGATGGGCTTTTTGACCCAAGCCCCAAGGCCGGCCTTGTGGAAGGCTTTGATGAGCGCCTTCTTGGCGGAGTGGTACTCTAAGGCCGCCTGCTTGGCTTCGTGGTACGAGCTGGGCTTCATAGCTTTAATCCGCAGGATGGAGGACAACTGAGGAGGAGAGGAGTGGAAAACAGAGCCAGTATCAATCACTGAGTGAAAATAACACCGGCTTCCCACCGGATGCGTAGCAGCACATAGTGCCCTCCAAGTGCAACACGCAGCAATTAGCATCCGTTCAAGTTGGTGTTTCCACCGGGCGTCTCAGAAGTGTGTGTCACAGCTTTTTTACACACAACATTTCCAAACATGTCGAGCTCCGCCGTTCAGCTCTGCCCGGACAGAAAATCAAACACGAGAGCAGCATAAAACATCTTTCAAAATAAAAGACCTGTACAGATTTCCTGTTGCTCAGCTAAAAGAGAGAATATGTCATCGCCTTTGACGGCTCCACGGCTGAGGAAAAGAACAGGAAATAAACCACAGACCGGCTGCCATCTTTCTCCCACTTGTTATCGCGAGAAATGGCAAAATCACGTGTGATCTTGTATGATTGCCAAATCTCGTAGAACCAAATGCGTGGAACATTTTAGGTAGGAAGGCAGCGCACCACTGAAGTCGCAGTGAAGGCACGTCTATTACATGGAAAGCTGGGTAATCCATTTGAACCAAACCAGGTTTAGATTTCTTTAAAAATACTACGCTAAATCTTTAAGAATCGCAGTGAAAACACACACCTCACTTTTATTCTGCTGCACTCTGAGCCTGAAAATCAAACCATAAAATCCATTGTTTCAGCCTGCCTTTACCTTGGAGTGCAGGCGCACCCAGCGGCTGTAGAGGGCGTGCTTGCAGAGCCGCGAAGCCCGGCCCATGTCGTCCTTGCCTGTGGTGGCGTTGATCACCTCCAGGGCCTGGTCGCCCACCGTCCAGTTCACGCTGAAGTTTGGTGCCTTGCCCGGCTGCCTGGCCTCAGCATTGCTGATCCCTGAAAGCCCAACAAAGCAGGAAGGTAAAATAACGACCTGAAAGCTTCCTCTAAAACGGTCCTGCTCCGACGGTCCATAAGGAAAGATGGTCTATGCCGCGTAGTTAAAGGAGCAATATGTAAGAATTTTACAGTTAAATAATCACTAAACAGTTGTGTTTCGATCAGGCTGGAAGGACGGATAAACTGAAACAGATCTCCTTCTCAGCTGGCTGGGGGGGTGGGGGGTGGGTGGGGGGGTTGCCGTTTTTCTCATAAAAAAACAAAAGAGGGACGTAGTCACAATTTACAATCAGTCTGCGCCGGGCTAACGCAACATTGCTAAAATTTGTATTCAACACCGGCAATAAGCTCCAGAGTCGTTTAAAGAGCCAAAGCCAGCCACAGGAGCGACCCGGAAGTTATTTCTAGTACCCCTAAGAATCCACGGCATCTTTTTGTTTTACTCTATTATCAGGTGAAGCAGGGCAGAGGCTAATGTTGAGCTTAAAATGCTAACGGTGAATTAGAAGCAAATATCTAAAAATATCTCAAGCTACTTTTTCATTTACCAACAACTCAATGTTACAGTGAAATGTCTGCCACATGCACTTCCTCTAATGCTGGAGGCAAACTACCGTATTAAGCGTAGTAAGTGCTCCCAAACACCCAAGCGTGCCAACACCAGATATGACAATGCGTCTATCTACTTATCAACTCGTTGTGTATGACTCGTCTTTGATTGTTATCTAGAATCTTCTGGCGCTGATCTGTAACTGGCAACAGGCACGAAACTCACAGAACGGCAGTGAGAATGTAAGTTTTTGTTTAGAAAAATGAGCTGCAGTAACAAAATTTGCCCACAAGATGTCATTCTTCATTCTTACATTTTGCACCTTTAACGTCATTGAATTCATAGCAAGACAGATTATCTGCTGGGCCAACGGAGGCGATAGAAAAGGAAAACGACAATAATGAGAACACGCATGGCAAAAATAAACCTCAACTAAATATGTTTGTGTGTGTATATGGTATACATGGTTTTATGTGGCCCTGAGGAAAATCTGTAATTAGATTTCTACTTTTGTAATCAAACCCACTTTTAGCTTGTTATGGTTCCTTCTTCTGGTGGTCACACCATTCCAAGACTCCCAACTCCTTCCTGCATGAAGTATCAACTCCGTCTAGAGAAGGGGTGCCCAGTCCTGGTCCTGGAGGGCCGGTATCCAACAGGTTAATGATTAACAGGCTTCTGCAGAGCCTGATGAGCTGCTGCACAGGCGACTCAACCACTGAATCAAGTGTGTTAGAGCAGAGAAACCACTAAAACATGTTGGATACCGGCCCTCTAGGACCCCTCGCCTACAGGCAGATCCTCCCTCATCATCTTTCACCAACACTTCTTTCCCTTCTCATTATTTGATCTGACGTGGTGGAGAGAAATGGAGCCACCCTCATGAAAGACTCCGAGGACGGAGCTTGAACTCCTCCAGAACACGACGGGGCTTTGGCCTCCGCTGTACCTCAAACATAAAAGGGAGATATATAGATGCCATAAATCCCAGCGTCCTGCTCTTTTTGTGTTTGTGTGTGAGAGTGTATTAAGCTCCCTGGTTCCATTTGGCAGCACTGGTGGCAGAAAATGATTTACGAGGGATGAAATCCTCACGGCTCTGAGGCCACAGCCCTTCACCGCTAAAAACCCTCTAAAGCGGAAAAGGTTAATAACCCCCGACTATTATCTCCTCTACCCGTCACTTACAGAGCACCCGCGGCGTGTGTGTGTGTGTGTGTGCGCGCGCGCAGACGATGCCCACGACCGTCCTGAACCAAAACCGACCAAAGTTTGTGATTTACAAACAAAAAGAAGATTCCTCCTCAGAGGGAAGTTTGCATCAGTGCCAGGTGTAAATGAATAATAATAGTTGTGGCACGAGGAAGACCACAGAAAAGGTTCTAAACTTATAAATAGAATGTTTTAAAAAAGCAGCACAGCATTAGCTCTGGTCCATATGGCCTTTTTAAAAGGTCAGGCCACTGCGGAGAATTTACACAAGATGATAAAGCTACTCAAATTCCACAGCAAGCAGGTGAATGTCATCTCAGATCAAAGGAGGAGAAGCTCTCCCGTCCTTCCTTCCTGCAGCGCTGACCGGTGGGTGAGTAAATATGTTTGAATTAAAATCTTCCTCCCTGATATTAGGACAGCTTTGAAAGGGTGACATAGCATGGTTTATCTGCAGATGATCATAAAAACAAAACAAAAACAAAACAAAACCACGTCTCCGTGTCATCTGGGATCCTGCTCTCACCGCTTAGCAGAGGCCTGTTGAGGGTGAACTGCTGGGGCAGGTCCTCGATGTCTGCGATGCGCTGGTACATGGCCCTGGAGAGGTGGTTGGCGTGGTAGAGGCTGCCGAGAATGATGCTGGAGAAGTAGATGGGCTCGGTGAAGTAGCTCATCAAAGAGCCCTGGATGCCCACCACGTTCCACCTGCAGAGACGGAGCGTGGACTTCAGCTGGGAATAATTAAAGCAACAGCTGTGTGCTCATTTGGCTCAAACAGGATATAGTGCGATATAATAAACACATGTCTGAAGTACAGAAGATTGGGTTTTCATTAATTTATTTTTAAGCTGTAATTCTTTAAAGGTGCATTAGGAGATGTTTTTCCTAAATGACTTGAAATGCTCTTCAGATACTGAAAGGAATTGTTATGGAAAATTGTACGTTTATTAATTCTTGATCATGGACTCAACCAACTGAATGTAAATGTACTGCTCTATGTCTCTCTGCATCACACACACACACACACGTACACACACACACACACACACACACACACACACACACACACACACACACACACACACACACACACACACACACACACACACACACACACACACACACACACACACACACTCACACACACACACACACACACACACAATCTCTCTCTCACTCCCATCTCTCGCTCTTTTATCTCTTGGTATAAATAAACTCTGTGGTCAGATGTTCGGGGCATTTTGCCACAGTTATAACCGTTTGACTTGTCTGCTCATTGTCTCCTTCTATCTTCACTATAGGAAATGGGTTATTGATAAACATATTGATGAAATCCATGACAGGAACCCATTCATTTGTCAAAAATTCACAATCACCTCTGAAACATACAATCCTGGAATCAACTCATCCAATCATTATGAACATCCCATTCTTAACCAGCTATTAAATTGTCCTCTGACAACCCTCCATACCCATCTCAGTGCGTGAATCACATGTTATTGGCTTGGAGCAGCTGAACAGGAAGTGAAGCCAGAGCTGGGCTGCCGACTGTTACAGAAGGAATATTCTGTTGAGTCTGGCTCTGATCTTGTTCGGAAATGTTTGGGTGACGGACCTGCTGTCTGAGAGCGCAGCCTGTCCTCTGCTGGTAGAGCAAAGAGTGTGTGAGCATGTTGGGATTTTCCATAGATTGTTGGTGGTGCTGAGCTGCTGTGAATAAACATACACAAAACACACAAGACACACATGCACACACACATTCTTGACTTCACACACAGACACGCACGCACACACACAAAAACTGCCTTGTTTTCCACCATAAAAACACCACACTATATTAGCTAGCAACCTAAATTGCTATACAGTTAAGTAGATGCTGTACGCTAGGAATTATGGCAGAAAAGGAGCCAATGAAGTGTTGAAGAGCAAAACAACCTTCGGTAAAAAGCATTGTGCGTTTCAGTATTCTGGAGGAATGACTGAACCCTTCAATTGTGTATTTTTTTAAAGTTAGCATGCTCTAACAGCTTTTTTAGAACTATAATCCTACCTTTAGAGGTATCATTTGAAACAAAATCTAGATTGGGTCCAGTCTTGATTTAAAAAAGTGGAAACTTGGCAACACAAGAGATAAATCTATTAGCATTTGTATTTATTAAGAAAAATGCTCATCAAAAATAATTTCAATTCAATTCATTCAAAAATAATTTATTAATCCCAGAGGGAAATTGATTTGCTAGCCATGTGGAATAAAATAATCTGATTTAATCTTTTATTTATTTGACAGTTTCAACATTAATAAAGGAAGCAATAAGAAATCACAGGAAAAAATAATATGTACGTAAAAACTGCTGCACTTTGCAAAGTCCTTTTCAAACTCGATACAGAAAGTGAGCGAGAAAGTGGAGGAAGGAGAAATGAAATCTTTAACTTCATAGCTGCAGGCGGTAAAGCACAGATTCAGCACAGTCAAATAGCTCCATATTATTCTCACACGCACGCACGCACGCACGCACGCACGCACACACACACACACACACACACACACACACACACAGTTTTATCACAACAACATGGTGACACAAACACACCTGAACACCTTCTGAAGGACACACAGTCAACACGAAGAACCACAAACAGACCAGAATGCTCATTTGAGTTATGTTTTCAGAGGCATTCAATTTTGATCCTGTCAAACCTCCCTGTATGTTTGAGAGCTGCTTTTTCTCCCCCATCTGATATAAAGCCTTGCCCCCCCCCCCCCCCCCCCCACACACACACAGAATAAGTCAGAAAGCCCAGCTGATCAGCTCTTAAAGGAAGAGAACAGGGTACGGAGATCCATTAGAGCTGGATTGCTAATGAGCCACGATAACAGAAAATGGCTCGTTCATATCGACGTCGTTAAGGTTCACTCGGAGCCCCGTAAGTAAAATCCACTCAGAGAGACAGAACTGGGCTCTGAAAAGACAAAATGACACCAGCACACCCAGAAAACAACACGCTCCTGACTGAACGTTTAATCACTCCGAGCGTTCAGGCAGGTATTTATCCTGGCCGGAGAACTGAGCGAGCGAGATCAGTCATGGAGAAGTTTTCCAATCCATCAAACGGGAAGAGCGATGTTGCCTTGAACACGGACGGAGACTAAAGATGCCATGATCCGCCAGAAAGACACAAAAGCTTCCCGGGACAAAGCTCTCATCATTCCATCCTGAAATTCCCAGAGGAAAGACGGGGCGCCACGCAGTTGATTATGAAGGCGTGGGATTCTGAAAGCGGTCTTTAATGCAAATATTTTAAATAAATAAAAATATATGTTATGTATGAACGTTTTTGTTACCTCGCTATCTTGTCACTGCAGGACATGGTGAGCAGCCTCTCTCCTTGCAGCACGCCGTCCCACGTCTGGATGGTGTTGCTGGACCTCACGGGGATCGTCCCCTCCCCCGACTCGATTTTTGTCCTCAGCTGGCCTCTGGCTTTGCGGTTCGGATGTCTGTCTCCTTGATCTGAGCAGAAAAAGAAGAAAACTTTAAAATAAACATTCAATTATCACACTAATGCATCCGACTGGTTTAAAAACTTGTCAAACTGATGAAATCTTGTCCTGAAATCGTCTAAAATCAGCACAGAAACTTCCAGGATTCTGTTTCGGAAAGCCGAGTTGTTACGTAGGACTGAAATGAAAACAGAATCCAATTATTCTGTAATCCTTTCAGCCTCGAGTTGCACTGAAATGTTGAAACAGACAGCTGAAGAGGAGAAATCTCATTTTTAGTTTTAATAAATGCACATTTTAAATAAGTTTTCTACAAAACATGAAAGAAAAAGTTGGGAAAGAGTCAAAATGTTATAAAAAACAAACTTTTTCATAACCACCCTTCATTATGAAAAGTAGGAGAAACTTGAACTATTTAACCATCTGTGATAAAAGTCGTTAAAATCAATAAAGTTCCAGTCCAGTTGAATATAATAGATACACAAATGTTTTTCACCACACACACACACACACACACGCGCGTCTTCATCCCATCAGTCTGAATCACAACTGGAGGGATTTTTCTGATATTCTAGGAGAATAACACAACATTTGACTTTACTTCTTTGTGAATCCAGAGGAGGGGAAACGTTTACACCGGAAGCTGAACGGGAGTGTTTACTGACAGCCCGTGATTCCAAACGAAGAAAACAAACAAAAAAATGGCTCCCACATTATGTTATCAGAGCTTTCTGATGTTCCACCAGCAGGCGCCATCTATTCAGTGACTAATTGAATGTGGCTGTTTTCCATTCAGCCAGCCGTGTGCAGCAGGAGGCAGGCTGGCAGCAGCGAGAGGAGGTTAATCAGACAGACAGAGCGGGTGAGCTGGGGAGGACGGCGACTGATAGAGGAAGACAGAGGATGACAAAACACTCTAATTACCCCCGCCTTGTTTAAACGTGTCCGTAATGCGTGTTTGGACAGTGGAGTAAAATTCTAATTTAATGAAACCAAGCCTAAGAGGAAAGCCTCCACATTTAATTAAATAAAAATAAACTGCTGCTGCTGAGGCCGAATCGTGAGCAAAGACGGGACTCGACTCAAACCCCGCCGGCGTGGCTGAGGAGGAGAGACGTGCGTTCTCACCTTCCACGCCGGCTTCGTGGGGAGAGAAGATCCTGGCGTCTCCGCAGGGCGAGGTGCTGATGTAGAGGTGGAACTGAACGTTGTCCTTTAACCTGTAGCCGCCCTTGTCACACAGCACAAACATCGACTTCTGGTGGTCTTCCTTAGTGCTGGGAAAAAAAAAACAACAACAACCGGAAAAATAAAAAACGAAAACAGCAAAGAAATATCTAGTTCTGTTTGCATGACGTTTACTGACTCCTCCCACTGACCTGAGGAAGAACTCCAGCTGAGTGTAGAGGTACCTGATGAGCGAGCGTCGCGCGATGATCTCGGCATGGCAGTCGTTGAGGGCCAGGCCGCGGTCGCTCATGTACTCACCGTTGATGCATTTGGTTCCCGTGGAAACACAAATGACCTGTGCTTCCTTCACGTCTGTGCCTGTTGGAGGGAAACTCTAAATAAGACGCACTGGTGTGGATGATGAGATCAGTCATTCCTGGTGTTTGATTATTTTTATCCGTATAAATAAATAAATAAATAAATAAATAAATAAATAAATAACTAGGAACCCTTTCAAGGGTTTTCATTAAACTTCACTTCTTTCATCCACTTTAAAGCCCAGCAGGAGAGATGCTTGGTAGAGAACATGCTAGTCCCCAAATCTCTCTGAATTTGACTGAAATAAAAAAAAGGTAATAAATAAATAAACAAATGAGATGTTTGAATGAAATATTAAAGGTGTAGTTCACTCATTTAAAGAACACACCTGCAGTGGTCTCTAGCAGAAGTGAATGCCTTGTAAGTCGTACTCTGGGGAAAAAAACACCGGTGCGCGTGTTTCAGGAACAAGAAATGACCCACATCAGAGCTGAGCTTCAGGCAACAGGTGTCACGGTCTTATTTCCTGATATTTAGACATCTCTCCTCTGATTGGCTAACAGCAACACAACTCTACCACTAACTCTGTAATGTTGATGTTTTATCACCACAAATAACACAAGAATGGAGGAGTGTGGTGGAGTTGCTAATGCTAACGGTTAGCTTCTACTAGCCGAGACGTTCTCTGCTGTTTCCTGGTTGTTAAAGCAACAACAGCCTTCCCCGTCGTGAGTCAAGATGGGTGAGTCCATGAATGTTAGTGACAGTTTGACGTAGATGTGTCAGGATCTTCTAATCCTAGAGTTTTTATCAGAAGCCATGCAGGAGACAGGTGTAGGAGACTATTGTAAATGTTCAGCCTGCATGAAAACCTAAGAGCAGGGCTATTTAATTCCAAGCCAGCACATTTTAGTGGTTTCTCTGGTCCAACACACTTGATTCTGTGGTTGAATCACCTTTGCAGCAGCTCATCAGGCTCTTCAGAAGCTTGTTAATCACCTACTAACTGAAATCAGGCGTGTTGAAGCCGGGTTAAGACCAAAACATGCTGGATACCGGCCCTCCAGGCCCGGAATTGAATAGCTCTGCCTGAGCGTGCCTGATTATTTTCAGAAATAATCAATAAAAATGTTTTTTTAGTGTTCCACACCTTTAAATATATTTACTTTCCATTATTATCAACTGAATGTCATCATATTATCTCCTTTGCTTTTCTCTTGAAGAGGAAGTTAAAGGGTTAACACATGTCCAGTGAGAAAACCATCATATTTGTATTGTTTACAAAAGACTAAAGTTAAAAAAGCTGGACGAGAATTTAAACTAAACACACGTGAAGCCACGACAGCTCAGACCTTTTAAACGGTACAGCTAACATCGTCCCCCCCCGTTGCTGTAGATGGTGTTCACCAGCTCCTGGCAGACATATTCATCTCCTCTGCTGCCAAATGCATCGCTGTGCTTTACAGCAAATGGCTCAAGCGTTTACTTAACTGTTTGTGCAGCTGAACAAAAAAAGTACACAGAGTTTTAGAGCCCAAAAAAACCCCTCTGTTCTGATTTAGACAACGAGGATCGGTGTGGAGAGAAAATAACACAATGTTCCAGTTAACAACGTTCCTACGTTAACCATAAAGACCTGTTTAGATAGAAGGAGCAGCCCGTTTGTGCAGAAACACGATGCAGATTCATCAGAGACTACATGAATCTCAGGTATGCAAAAATTAATTCATATATTTAATAAATATATAAAAGCAATAATGAAGGAAAAGCATTCTTGTGCATCAAACGTGTTACAGATTCATTTTAACCTGGTCACCTTAAAACTGCTCTTATTATTTCAAATGACTGTTTTATTTTTATTTTAGTTAGTTGTGTTGGTTTCAATAAAAATGCTTATTTTTCTGTTTATGTGTTTTTGTCTATGAGGCCTGGGTAACAGGAGGATGTAGCATATTAGAGAAATAGGGTTTAAATGCAAAAGGGAATAAAATGAGATCTAACAGAAAGACTGCGAACAGAGAACTGTTTCCACCCCGACCGTTTAAGATGCGACACACTCTGATGCTGATCGCTTTAATGTGCATTCATTAAAAAGGAGGATTTGTTTACATGGTGATAATTTTCTACTTTATTTTGTAAACATACCCTAACAGAGAGCTGATGATCTATCAAATAATTAGGTAAATTACCAGACGTGGGAACATGCTAACAAGTTAGCATTGGGCTGCTAACTGTTAATGATTGCCTCTTTTCTTTGTATTTTAGGCTTATGCTTTAACAAACAACAAAACTATAGTTAGAAATAACAAATAATCATGACAAAATTGGGATTTCAGAATAAAACAACTCATCATATGACACTTTAGCCACAGCTAATCCTATTTGTGGGCATCCATGGCTCAATAGAAAATAAATAAATAAAAATAAAAAACTGTATAAATTTGTAAATATTGGGATAAAAAAAGATTCTAAAACACAACAAAGTCAAAATGTGAGCACTATAAATATTCCTATGGACAAAAAACACTTATTTTTAAAGGCTTTTGCTTCTAAATCCTTAAACAAAAAATTTGAACTTACCGTATTTTCCGGACTATAAGTCGCACTTTTTTTTTCATAGTCTGGCTGGTCCTGCTACTTATATACCAAAGTGACTTAAATACCAAATTATGTATACCGCGCTGCTGCGGGCCGGCTCCGCTCCAGGTTTCTACTTCTACTACTGCTAAACTTTATTTATATAGCGCCTTCACATGGCCAAGGACCAAACAAAGCACTGCACAACAGAAATGAACATAAAGAAATAAAAACACATAAAACCATAAAAAAACCGACTTATACTCCAGAAAATACGGTACTAAAATCCCTTTTTGTAAACACAAAACCATCAACCCCCCCACCCCCGAAGTTACCTGTCGTCATGACAACTCCTGCCAGGACTTTTCGCCGCGCATGGGGGGATGTGAAGTTGTCTGTCAGCTCACTGAACTTATCCACCACCAGGCGAGAGACGGCATCAGCCAGAACCTACACACACACACACACACACACACACACACACACACACACACACACACACACACACACACACACACACACACACACACACACACACACACAGCAGGAAGACATGCACATAGCCACACAAACAAAAGCTTGTCTCAGATATGTCAGCTGACAAAGCATGTCTGATGTTATCCTCCCCCCGAGCGCTATCTACCTGTCGAGCGAGCATCCCAACAGCAACAAGTGAAACGGGGATGACCCGCTGAGGTTTACCTAACAGGGATGCTAGAGTCTGACATGACAGTTCTGGGTAGCATCTCCCTTCTGACAGTAAATCACGGCAACAACAAACAGATAAACCCAAACACCAGATGTGAAATAAGTTCTCATTGGATCTTCACAAAGTTTAAATCTCCGGCTGAACGTTTAAGGGAAACAAACAAAAACCAGGCTTCTGCTGTTCTTGGACCACTAATGGGATTGAAAACGACAGAAACCAAGAGAGACTTCTACTGAATTATCCCAAATGAAATAAACTAGTCGCACATTGCCTCTCACTCAAAGTCAGACCACAAAATAGTAACCACCTGGGCAGTGTTTAAAGTGTCCACTTCACTACGTCCTGCACTGTTTTCCCTATCTCATGGCAGGAGTTTCAAATTACACACTTCAAACAAACACCTTCACATCCGAACATTCCCTGGTCAAACAGGAACGCTTTTACAAATTCTCAAGATCAAGCGTGACCTCAGAGAGAACAAACATGGCTGAGGAGGAGCATGTGATGCGCTTTATTCACAGCGCTTCCTGATTGGCTACACGCCACATTCAACAAGCAACTCGCTCATTTGTCCTCGATATCAGACCAAGACGATGAAATATGTTGAGTTTCTCCGATTTGTAGTGGTCCTTCAGAGAAGAATAGAGTAAAAATCGTCTATTTGCCGTGTGAAGTGGGCCTTTGCTTTTTGGTTCACGTAAAGGTTTGTTTTGAAACTCAGAAGTTTATTTATTGTATGACTAAATGATTTTGCTTGATTTGGAAGTTAAAGCTGCTAATGTGGATCTGCAATCAAGCTAGGTTTTGAACACAAACACGAAACACTCACTCCTCCCCTCAGGCGTCTTCCCTCAGCATGCTTATTCTCTCATAAGCACTTTGGCTGATGGAAACAGGCTGCAGATATTACATATTAAGCAACAGAAAGTTAATAGAGCAATTAGGAGGGAAGCTATCTTTTTAAAATTAACTTTCATTAATGAATCAGATGACAGGAGGAGAGTGAGCAAAGAAAGAATGAAAGGCGTTCTGGATGGACTGTTGACATTGTGTCAAGCGGATGATCTCTGCTGACCGTGTTATCTCTCTTCACACACTCGCAGTCATCTCTAACAAGTCATGTAACGTCCCTTAGACTCCGCTAACTTGATGTGAATGACCCTTTAAAGATAACCTTGTGGAGCGGTTAAGTTTGACAGGTGGGCCATTTTGAAATGAACTTCCTTTAACTTAATAAATGAGTCCAAAGAGATGTGTTCCTGGCCCCTTTGTGCAACAGGGCTGCACACTAGTGGAGAAGATTAACAGTCTGATTTTTTATGTAACGTGCAACCCATTGCATCCGAGATGGTGTCGCGTCATGAAGGGACTGTTTTCCCCTCTCCCCTCAGGAAGAATTTATCTCCTTGAGATATTGCTCAAGGCCCTTGATGCCTCGCTGTTGTAACTAGCTATTTGCCTCCCCCTACAGCTCAAGAAGAAAACACGAATTATTAAAACACCAATTTCCAACAGATGACTTGAATAGCGCTTTAGGCTATACTGCACTTCTGCTATATTACAGACTATTAACTCAATGTTTCCTGTACAACAGGTGGTCAATTATATTTAGTAACACCAAATGTTGTCCAACTATTCATTCAACAACATCTCGAACATAAATGATCTTTTTACATTCAGAAAGGTCTAATTAATTTACTCCAATAAAATAGTCCACAAAAATCTTGAAGCCATAATTTACTAGCCTGGCAAGCCAGACTATATAAATATATTTGGTCTGGCAACGCTCCATTGAGGGTTCTCGTTGTGGGGCGGGTTCTACCGATGTCTTTCTAACAATCTCCGCATGCTACTGGACAATGAACAACATGACGAACTCACCACAGTGGATGTCTGTAAATGAGACAGTCTACTGTTGAAGTTGGTGAAAATACATCCATTTTCCAAGTAAAGGACTTAAAAACATCCATCTGCTCCTGATTCTCAGAAAGCCCAAGTCCAAACAGTCCAAATTTGATGTAAAAGCCGCCATCTTGTTCCACTCTGTCACATCATTAGGGTTGGGCATCGTTTGATTTTGAACGATTCCGATTAGGGCTGCAACTAACGACTATTTTAATAGTCGACTAGTCACAGACCATAGAAATGATGAGTTGACTAATTGGATGATTATTAAATGTTTCTTAAATTTAGCATGAGATTGCTTTAATTATGTGAAAAATGATAATAAACACAAGAGAGATGGTGTCGCGTCATGAAGGGACTGTTTTCCCCTCTCTCCTCAGGAAGAATTTATCTCCTTGAGATATTGCTCAAGGCCCTTGATGCCTCGCTGTTGTAACTAGCTATTTGCCTCCCCCTACAGCTCAAGAAGAAAGAAGACCAAGAAATCTATTAAATAATAATCAAATAACTTTGTTAGTCCAAATAATCATGTAAAGCTCAATGTTAAATCAATCTGTGAAAGGAGAATATTAATTACTTGATATTATAATCCTATGTTAGTATTTTAATAAGTAATATAACTTTAAACTACACACTAGACGGATCACATGTAATGTTAATCACATGACACATTCCTTTGTCTCTCCAATCAGAGCTTTCCTTTCTGACGCGTGACATAGTCTGTGCAGTGTTTATTTTTGGTGTCACATTCTGATTCGACCATAAATCAAAACATCTGAATTATAAAACTAATTCCCACGTCACCCTTAACTCAGTTCAAACGTTCTAGAGTTCGAGCCGGCCACTCGTAACTTTTTACCACAAAGAACCTTGACAGCTGGATAATTAAACCTGTTGCAAGTTCCATCTGAAGCAACATTCCTTCAGAGTAAAAGCTGAACTCATTGACCGTTCAGGGTCCCGCTGATGCTGTCAACCAACTGCCGCTTACCTGGAGGCAATCCAAGACTAGTCTGTCGTACCGTACGCTGTTTCACCGGCTCCGGTACCACCGGAGGTCTCCGCAAGGGTATGTAGCTCGGCAAGATAGTGTCTGAATGTGGTATTTTGAAACTCCGACTATAGTTTAGACCAAAAACATTCGCTCCACACAGAACTAAGGCTTCTCTGGAAACGAGAGTTCTGATAACAACATTCTTTACACCTTCCATCTTGCCTCATTCACCTAGATCCATTCATCACAGAGTGTTTAGAGTTAGAGTTAGCCTTGTTTTAAATTGTTTAGAAATAAATCTTCTTAAACTTTTAAACTTCTCTCTCTTGTGACTCTGGGTTAATACAAAGTGTTATCTAATCCCTGCAATAAAAAGTTCCGATCTTCTGATTAAAGGTAGTATTCAAAGATGCATCAAAATGATTCCATATTTTCTATGGAATCTCACCTTTGATGGTTTCCTACGTAAGACGTAACTATTGAACCACTACAATGGGTTATTCAGTGGAAAATGCATATTTTATAAAACTTTGCTGCTGATAGGCCAATTCATACTAACAGTAAATAAAAATGTCCTGTCTAACACCAATTAGGAACACTGCTCAGTCAGTATAGACATAAATGCATAAATAAAATTAAAATACTTTTGTCAGGCACAGTCGGGCATAACATCAAATCTCTTTTTTAAAAGTGAAAATACATTTTAAAAAATGTGCATCCAAAACAAAACGTATTGGCTTTCGTGTTATTTAAATCCTACCGAGGTGAGTCAGACTCCGTTTCATTCAACTGTCCGACGTGCTTTCTCTTTAAGTGTTCATGCATCACTGAGGTGCTGCCGTGATACGCAAGGGCTGCTTTGCAAATTATGCAGGTAATCTTTTTATTCGCCGAGTCCAGGCTAGAATGCTCCCAAACTTTAGATGTTTTGGTATGCGTAGCTGCTGTGTTGGACGCCGCCATTTCTGTTAGTTGACGCTCAGCAGAGAAGCTATTGCGCATGTGCGGCTCTCGGCAGAGATTGTAACGAAGTGAGATGCCTCACTCGGTCGAAAAAAACACGTCTGGCGATGACTATTTCTACTGTCGATATTTGTCGACAACGTCGACTAATCGTTGCAGCCCTAATTCCGATTCCAATTCCAATTCCTCGTTTCGATTCTGGCTCCTATCGATTCCCGATTCAGATTCTTTGAAGACATGACATGTTTTACATGAGCCAGCTAACCACAGGTCCTACTGGATGAAATCATCTTAACTTCAACATGAATTTTAACTCTATGAACAACAACATCACCTTCATGTAGACACAAACATGTTTTGGAGACAAAAGAAGACGACTTGCGGCACAACCAGTGTGTTTGTTTCTGACCACAACCAAAGTCTGGAAGAAGCCTCTGAGATGAGAGGCTAAATGTCTCCAACATATCCAGAAACGTCCAGCTGTCTTCAGCTAAAGCTCTCAGGATGATCATGTCCAGGATGACCGAGAACTACACCTCCATGCTGCAGCAGCTTCAGTCACAACAGGAAGTGGAACTTAACCGTAGCTGCTGTCGGTAACAATCTAACAGATTTAAACATTAAAACTCAACAGAAATAGTTCAGAAAGGAAATTAAATGTTCACAGCTTTGTGTGTGATTTATTATTATTATTATTATTATTATTATTATTATTGAGGCAGAAGCTGGTGTGGTCCACCACAGAGAAGCTGCTCTAGCATGATGACTTTAATTATTCTACAGGTTAATGTTCAGCCTTCTGATGCTCCGGGTGTGTTTTTATTTCTGCAGTGAGACAAACTCACCCACCTCCTGGGAGGGGGACTCGGTGCTGCACACAGACAGCTGGTGTGATCAGCTCTGAAAAGCATTCATCACAATTTGCAGATCACGTTTACTTTTCACGGAGATCGGCCGCGGATTCCTCTTCCGGTCGGCATTCTAGGAATTGAAACTAGGAATCAAAAATAAAAACTACGAACGATTCGGGGAAAAATGAACCGGTTCCAATAGATGCTCGATGCCCAACCCTACGACAACATCCCGCCCACCAGACTCAAACAACCCTGTGATTGGCCCACAAAGTGGATAGAGTGCTGTGATTGGCCCACCATTGTGGACCAATCACAGCACTCTCAGTTTGAAACCCCTACAGAGAGCTGTGATTGGTCAGCCAAAATGTTGCTAGGGGATGCGGAGGTTCCAATCAAGCGTTCCTAGACCAAACTTTCAAAGCAAGAATTAGGTCTCGTTCACTAGGCTAATGAGTTACAGCTTAAACCATAAAAGTTTCCTTCAAATGCAAGTTTTCATCATAGTCTCTGCTAGCATCCTTGATTAGCTGCAAACCTTCCAGGAAACTATATTTGTGATCCTAATGCATGTTGAAGATCAGCATGTAAATACACGATCATTAGGTTCATTACAAGGGAAAGGTATCTTACCTGTGGTAAGTGAAGTTGCAACCCTTCCCTTGGTATAGGCTGCCGGGATGGCGTCTGGTCTAGCTGCATGTTGAACAGAGCAGATAGGGCGGCTTGCGCTGCCCGGGCTTTAGCCAGTTTCTTGTTGCGCCCTGAGCCTTCAAATGTCTGTGAGTCCACCGTTACAGACATCACAAAATTCTTGGCATGACTCTCACCACTCTCTGAGACAAACTCATATTTGAGGCCTGGTCTGAGCTCATTGAGGATCATGACTGGGTTTTTGCCGGCGGATGGTGAGCTAAATGCAGATGGAGGGGGCAATGGGGCTTGGGCAAGGTTGCTGCCAGGAGGCGTGGGTAATGGGTACTCCCCTAGAGAATTTGTACCGTTGGAGCCTAGATAAAAGGATTCTTCAGATGCAGCTGGTGTCTCAAAGCCATTGAAGAGCATGTCAGGGAAGTCAGCTTGGTCAGATGTAAAGTCTGTGTTCACCGTCAGCGTTCGGCCCATAGCCAGGTGTGCCTCGGATGCATTAGGGAACTGTACGAAAGAACGCAGGGCTTTCTCAGCTGCATTCAGTTTAGCCTTCTTCTTGGTTGGGCCCATACCCTCAAACACCTGTCCATTGACCTCTACAGTCATGACAAAGACTGGTGCGTGGACCGGTCCCGTCTGAGACAGCAGTTTGTACTGTAGACCTGGTTTGATTTCATTCAGCTGCATCAGAGCATTCTTGGGCAGCACCGGACCCGGCGTTTTCTTGCGCTTCTTGGCGCGGAACTTGGAATGCGCGTGGCCATTGTTACCCTCCTCTAAGGGCCGCTTTCGACTGCTGAGGCTGCTTCCGTTGGGGAGCTGATCAGCGACTCCCATCCCATCTTTGCAGGACACGTTGTCCAGGTTTCGGTTTTCCTTAACGTCTGTGCTGCTTGAACCTGCGGTGCCCAGAAAGAGTAACTTACAACGCCTTCGTTGCAGGACCTTGTAAATGCAAAATTTATAGATTCCTTTATCACTCTTTGGAACCGAACCAATGATTTGTGTTCCTTTATGAGAACAAGATAACTTTTTATTAAGAGTAAAGATATTGACTAATAACTTAATAATATGGAAAGGGAAAGTAATACATTTATATCTAAATACCTCGAATTTAACACAGCAGCCTTCGATTTTATTCACTAATGCAAAAGTGAGGTTAGAGTAAATGTAGGTTAAATCTTTGAGTCAAATAAAAAGTTACACACTATTACAGCTTTTAAAATAAAATGCAAAGAAAATCAACTGCGCACACGCACGCATGCACACACACACACACACACACACACACACACACGCATGCACACATAAGCACACCCTAGTTTACCCTTCAATAACTCTATAAGAAAATTAAAACCAGAAAAAGAAAAGTAATCACTGGAGGGAACACATATCACTGATCCAGTTTGCAAAGTGGATGGAATGTCGGGAAAAATTTTCATTTATAACATCCTCCAGCAAAGGCTTGATAGGTTACTCCTTGCGGTACTCGAGAGAAAGAGAGGCCGCAGTGTGCATGAGTGGGATTGTAGGTTGGGTTGAGGGAGTGCAGGGGGGTAGTGCAGGGGGAAGGAGCTGAGGACCAGGCAAACAGGAGAGTACATCAAAGAGGCAGAAGGAGAAGACTCCACCTACTGCAGGATCCTAAAGGCTTGACTGGTGACGCGGTGGAGGTTAAAATGCATTTTACTTGGTTTAAAAATGAATTTAAAATAAGGAAAGTTTGAATTTCCCTGAAAAAAAAAAGGGTCTCTAATGAGGTGCCATTCAGAAGACTCTGCGCCTCTGAGATCCCCTCCGTGGAGCTTGTCAGAGAGCACAGTGTTGGTAAAAATGTACCGACATGCCACTACCGTCTGCAGCACAATGCCACCGACATGTCTCAAGACAAAAAAAGGAAATAACAACCGGATTCTGATAGTACAGCCTGAAATCTTTCAGTTCATGATTAAAAACATGCACCTTAGTTCATGCATTTACAAATGAATGTGGGCTGTGCAGCGAAACCTAAGTGGAGAAAACATTAGCGGAATAGTTGAGATCAACTATTAACCATCAGAATGGTGCACGCTACCAAAAAATGCGTCAACTCCAAATCTTTTTTCTGCAAAAGTTAAAATGCGAGAACATTTGGTGCTTGACATGAAAAAGATGATCGTTTAAGTTGAATTAGTTATTATCCATGTTAAACAAAACCTAAAAACAAACAAAAACACATAACATCTCTGACATGCTGCACAAATACAGTCAAGAAAAAGGCTCACAGGAAGATCGTGAGCGCATTTTCTTCAATCCAGGATTACAAACGAGCGTTAGACGTCCCTGAAGACTGAACGTTCTTGCTTCTCATTTATTAAATTATATTCCATAGACATTTGGACCTGACATGAGGACAAAATGTTAATTAGAGCCATGCGTTGGTTAGATTTTAGTGAAGACATGCAGTTGTGGTCATGCTGGGATTTGTGTAACCAGTATTTATTCAGAGTTAAAATCATAAAGTTTTGGATGTTATGAATCTAAAACCCATTAATCATGATGTATTTTTATCTGGGCTGTTTGAAAAAAGCTGATTTTTCCCTCTGCGTCTTCCTCCGTTGTTCTCGGGGTGTGTGCTGGACTGTCTTTAACCTTCACGTGTGTACTTCATACCAAAATCTGACAACAGCAAGGCGTCTGACGCTTGAAAGCCAACAGAGACTAGCTTATAAGTTGGCACAACCCACTTTTCTACAAGGTAACACAACTATAACTACAATTAGAATTTTTTATTTGCAAAGCAAGCTGGGGCATGGTAGCCAACTTTAAATGTGACCTTGTTCCGCAGTTTAAACAAAAACATTTAATCAAAGTTGATCTGCTGGAGCAGAGGGGAACGCCGGTCGAGGGCAGATCCGGGAAGTGACCTGAAGCATCGGAGATGGAGTTATTAGCTCTTCTGTTAAGAATAACGATGCACTACTTTGCGTGTTTTTTTAAGAAACATGGTAAATAATACGCTCGTTGATGTGCCCCGCACTTCTACTGTAGAATATAGACGTTTAAAGGAATCTCCTTTATTTACGGGCTGGTAAATGAGTTCACACTGATTACACAACAGTTTCAGAGAGAAGCAGGCAGGCTCGGAGGAGGGAGAGTCCAGGCAAACAATTAAATATAAAGGCCAAGTTTTCATAATAAAGGAAGAAAAACAGACAAAGAAAAGAGGAGAATCAGAGGGAACTCACTCATGTTCTCCTCCTCGTCCACATCCATGGTGTCAGGTTTGCTCTGACCTGAGAGCAGCCTCGCCCCCACGGCACCTGGGGATTGGAGGACAGAGAGACGGATGGCATGAGCACCAACAGAGCGTCACGCCAGCACATGAACATATTCAGAAAGCTGGAGTGGCTACAGCGATGATGGATTTCTATGCTTGACTCGCTGGTGCACGCACACACAAAGAAACATGCACACACTGCAGTGTGTGAGCAGCTCCTGATGTAAGCATATAAATATTCAGAGACGGAGAGATATCAAGGTGAGGGAAGGGGCCCGGGCTGACAGGCCTTAATAGCAGGAGCAGTCTATTGTGACTTTAATATCCCTGCGATTAGACCTCCTTTCCCACTGCCTGCTGGGAGATACACCGCTAGTGACACGGCCAAGTCGCTCCACGGCTGCACGTGTGACTTATCCCAAGGTGGAGACAGATTAAAGCTTCGTTAAGGTTTCATTCCAACATCAAATCAAAAGATTTTCTGTCACCTGGAATGTTCTTACCTCGCAAACTTTCTGTTTGATGAGATTTGGGAATCTAAGCTTTTCACTACCTGTACATCAGCGTCTGACCCCAAACCCAGAAATAACACCATTTACACACTTTTCAAGCAGCTTCGAGGCAGGAATGTCCAGCATCTCACCTCAGAGTGATCGACAAGAACAGGAACAGTAAATAAATGCTCAAACCAGATATTTTACTTCCTTGTCTCAGGAGTGGGAAGTTAACACGGAAATTATGACCAATTGGAAAAAAAAAACGCGTAGAAAAATACCATTTGAGGCCAAGCGGCCACCAGTTGCTTATTAGCATCACAATTTCTGCCCATTACATCAATAACTATCATCAAGCTGCACCTCTAACAAAGTCTTCAGTACACTTACAACGTTCCATGTCCATTTATCACATATCATCAATAACACATACAACAATATTTACACATCCCAACAAATCCCACAATGGCTACCTTTACAACAAAACCAAAGTAATCCAACAGGCTTTGTCGTTACAGAAATACACTCATTAACATGCGGGTGTGTCGTTTTTGCATCAATAACGCTATTTTTCATAAAAAACCCTGCTGGGGGGATTGTCTAGAACAAATCGAATGTGATCAATCAAAAATAATTGATTACAAAGCCTCCGATTAATTAGATTAGTTTTTAAAATCAAACCCACCCCTAGTAATCATAAAAAAATGAGAGGGCAGTTCACACTGTTCATTTTTTATGCATCTACGTTTTTTTTTTCTTTATTTTACAAACTGAAATCTTAACTACCAAAGGAAACACATGGGACAAAAACGACGGTAATACCCACATTTAAATGAACAGAGACACTATTTTGTTTTTGTTTTTGATCAAATCTCAATATTCTTTACAATAAAGATCATTTATTTATTGAACTGTTGAAATACTTAAAATCCACAAGTTTTTAGTGAAAAATGTGTTTCCTAACTTGATTATTTAATCCCAATACTTTTAATACCTTGGATATCCATCGCAATTCAAACACTTCCTATGATTTCGAGCCCCTGTAAGAACCCGGTGCAACACAGTTTGGAAATTGCGCAATTTATTGGTCCGATTGTGATATTTATGAGTCAAACTTGACGCCCACAAACCAGATTAGAACTTTTGCCAATTTCAATTTTGCAGTGCAAATGAATCCAGATTAGCTGAAATCTGAAGGTGGACCTCTGACATCCCAAGGAGATAAGTTTCACCACTGGCTCGTGCTTCACGTTGTTACAAGATGAAGAGATTTCTTGCATGTCTATTTAAATGTATGCCCTGAAAAATCACCAAAAGTAACACAAATTATTAAAAAAAAAAACAGCTCAGATGAGCACAGCTTTGTGGAATAAATTATATGAGAAAGGGAACGCAAAGGAAGCGTAGAGCAGAGCACAATGAAATCCCAACGAAAAGACACACAGTGAAACAGAACAGATTGTGCTGATTCTACTTTCTCTCTATCCGCCTTCCATCAGCGCCCCCATTCCTCAGCCAGACACTTTCTTAAGCTAAAGTAAATGGGCTAATTAATCTGGGCTAATGGTGGGTGACAGCAAATATGCTAGCACAATTATCACCCTATTAACGATTCATATTCCAACACATAATTGAAAATGAAAAGGTGGGGTGATGGGAGTATGGGGGGTGAGGGTCCAACTGGATGGGAGTCATTTATCTCAGGTAGCAGAAGCCCGGCGTCGCTTGCCTCGGTGCGCCCGAGCTGAGACCCAGAACTAAATCTACTCGCATGGTGCACTATGGTTATAAATCTCACTGAGGAAAAATAATGAGTAAATACATTAGAGAGCAGCAACGTGGGCACAGAAACATTAGTAAAACATGGCTATTTTAATTCACATATTTTTTAACTCATTCACTGTCATTGACGACTAAAGTCGTCACTTTAGATCCAACTGTTCACTGCTAAAGTCGTCATTAGCATTTTTTTTACTGTTTGGGCGTCAAAACGAGCCCCCGTGCTGAAAGAACAAACATCTCAGCTCTGAAGCCGATCTTCATCCGCGTACGTCACATGTCAGGTGATCAGGAAGCAGAACATCCATGTGTTAGGAGATCGTTTTGGGCCGTTCCTGTAAAAAAAAGTGAGGCGCAAACCGGAAAAGCTTCTGCCGTTCAAAATTCGACAACGGATTATGAAAGAACGGATAACGCTCGAAACACACGGATTCTTCCTGATGTAAGAGATGAGTCTCCGCTTTGTTTTGGTTGTTTTGGCGTCAACATCATGCTAGCGCGCAACGTTCTGTGACTCTTAAAAAAACAGTAAAAACGGTGAGAAACGCTGGCAGAGAAGGCCGTTAGCGATCAGGAAACGGCTGGCAGTGAATGAGTTAATATTATTTAAAGCGTGGACTGAAAGGTCTAATCAGAACCTAATGTTAATGCGTTGGACCACTTCAGTCATAAATCTGTAACTAATTCTGAAATCAGGAGCAATCGGCGGCTGGGGTTGCATGAAAAAGTTAAACGTGTGTGGGACTTCTGTCTTGTAAATTCGTAACTAAATGAATATGAACTGCTGAAGGTCAAAAGAAGGTATTCTGCAAATTACAACTGATATATTGTTAAAGAAGGTTGGTATGACAACACACCTTTGAGAAAGGTATGAAAGTATGAACTGAAACAGAATAGAGGAATTGAGTTCTCATGGACGTCTCGTGGTTCACAAAGACCTTTACTTCATGTAGTTTGCTTCTATGTGCTAGAGCTGGTGACATTAAATAAAGCATATGCATGCATGCAAATTTAAAGGTACAATATGTAATAATTCTACAGTAAAATAATCACAAAACAATCTAAAGCCTCAATCATGGTGGAAGGAAGTTTATACTAAAACAGCCAGCTGGGGGTTGTCAGTCTCCTTTCAAATAAAATATTAAATAGGGACACAGTTATTGTTTACAGTCTGCGAGTTTGTTAGGTTGCCATGATTCTGCTGAGCTAAATCCAGCGCCGGCATTTGTAATTCGACACCGGCAGGCAAAGAGCTCCAGAGCTGTTTAGAGAACCAAAGCCAGTAAACAGAAGTGGCACAAAAGTTTTTTCTTGTACCTCTAAGAAGCCATGGCGTCTTTCAGTTTTATTCTAATATCTCGTAAAGAAAGCTAGAGGATAACATTGAGCTAACAGTGTTAGCGGTGAATTAGAAACAAATAGTAACCTCTTAAAAAACCTTAACTATCTTTTCAATGACCAATGACTTGATATTACAGTGGGTTGTTTAGGACTATAGCAGCAAGCTAACAGCAAGACTGCAAACTCCTCTAACGCTGGAGGCGTATTACCGTAATAAATGTAGTAAGTGCTCCCTACAGTAAAACACTTAAGAGTGCTAAAAACAGATTGACAGTTTGATAAAAGATTTTAACAGATGGGAACTGACTCAGAGGGACCTCAGCCTTCGAAGGAGGTGGAGGCGGCTTTGTCCTGTCTTATATACAGCATCTGTGTTGTTGGACCACTTCAGTTTGCTGTTGAGGTCAACATCCAGGTACCGCTTTAATGTCTGCTTCCTGGATGTTTACAGGTGACTGAGGGGGAGTCTTTCTCTGGAAGTCGATCACCATTTCCTTTGTTTTACAGGTGTTCAAGTGAAGGTGGATACGCTCACACCAGTCAACAAAGTCCATGATGACTGACCTGTATTGCAGATCATTCCCCTCAGACACACAGCCGAGTATGGCCGAGTCATCAGAGATCCTACTGTAGCCTCCAGAAATGTTTAGTTTTTCATCTACAGTGTGACCTCTTCGGTATCTGGTCATATGGAGACGTAAGTCTCAACTGGTGCCTTTAATCTGCAAGAAAGAGACTGCTGCTTGACCAAGGTCTCTCTCCAGCTTCCCCTTATCTAAGACTTCTTTGCTTCAATGAACAAGAAGGATGAACTTTCATAATTAAATCATATAATGAAATGAACTTTTATAAGAGGAGTTAAAATAATGACATGGAATTAACAATATGGTAGAATGGAATACTTAAATAATCATATAATGAATGAACAATATGGTTAAATGAAATGTTTAGATTAATCTGTGCTTAGATTAATAAGGATGAAATGAAATATATGACCCATATATTTAATCAGCGTACATGACTGGACAAGACACACTCACCATATCTCCATGACGCAAGTTAAAGTTAACGTCACTGCACATAGATATTTTCTTATCCACAAAATCAGCATCGTCGTATCTGAGGGAGGTGTGTATCTGAGGTTTGTTGGCAAAACCCATTTTCATGGCAAGTTCTGATTTGTCAGTAAACCAAAATATGGCCGTTATTAAAACAGAATCACATCCTGAGTGAGGCAATTTAGCCCAACTCCGACTGGCCATCGGAGAAAGCCTCTTCTCCCATCGCATCTTTGACAAGCTATCAAACCTGTTGCACACTACAGCTGATACCACAAACAGTTCCTTCAGAAAAAAGCGGACACATCTCCAACTCCCTAAGAGTCCTTCCATAGACGCAAACAAGTCCACCTGGTTGTCGTGATCTGGAG